TTTTCTCTTTGTAGATCCATTGGGCTTGAAGTACCACAGCAAGTGGCTATAACCGGCCGCGTGGTTGTGGTTAGATGTCTCCTTGAAAATTCGAAGTCTTCTAACCATTTTATGCTTGTGTAGGTTGGCTCTTCTTGTGGACTTCTTGTGTCGTTTTTTTCCCTCTCCATCTTAGTTTCCTCAGGTTACACCCGTATCCGGATGTGTGGGCATGTGTATCTACTTTTGTAGTTTCATATGTGCATTCATTTCGGGCCTGATGAAGCCAACCAGCAGAAATACGTATCGCTCGGGTTACCTATCATATTTTCTGCTCGAATCCACTTTCCTCTTTTTTGCGGATTTTGCCCATTATTTTTTCCTACTTCTTGTTATATACCTTTCTCCGCATGATCATTTTCTATATATATATATACATACATTTCTATTACACAATGATGAACAAATATTTAAAAATCGTTAGCGCGACGATTCGTATTGCCGTAGTGGTGATATTCGAATCCGAACAATATAGTTCCCGTCAATCTGGATTTCAGAAATCGGAATCAAATCTACTAGAATCGGAATTGAAACCATCGGAATTATTCATTGGAGATGATCCTGATAGGTTCAATTCCTGCAGTGGTACCCTTTCCTTGGAACGACTCGTTTACAAACGACCCAGCTCTACTTCAAAATGAAGCTCAATCTCGGTCCAACAGCACAGACGAAAATTGATGAAATAAAATAGTCTGTTGCCTGCGAAATTAACACAAGATAAACTCGATTAAAACGAGTTTTCGAACAAAGAAATATAGTTGGATGAGGTGGACATTGAAGCTCGTCAATATGTGTGTGGAAATTGTGTACCCAAATTCAATTAAAAAGCCACGTCGCACGCACTGAAGATACTGTAAATGGAATTCCCTACTATTTGTAGACGTAACTGAGGAGATTTTTAAGCGTGAATGTGTTTTTTGACTTCAGAGTACACTTATCTATTCCTAAGTATGTAAATATGAATGAGGTAAGTGCCTAATGGAGCGAGGGTGGCATGACTGATATATTAAAAATAACTCATGCTCGCTTAAGGGCCTGGAAGTGCTTTGGAAGCGGGGATGCCTACCCCAGGCGATTTCTGGTTTTACACTGTGCCATCTTAAAATTGGCGGCATGCTACAGGACAGTTCAATGTGTTGTTGCAACTACTGTATACGAATGAGGAATAGAAAAAGTAAACCATGTCACCTGGAACACAGTTAAACAAAAATGCACAGTCATTAATCGGTATTGTCCTTCAGAAAGGCAACCGCCGTTGCCCAAACGTCCACAATTTAGTTCTAAGAACAAGAAAACTACATGATAAGATTTAGGAGTTACACTGAATGCATTGAATTTTGTTAAAAAAGATATAACGTATATGGCAAACAATCACAGTGCAAAGATAGCTTATTTGTGTTTTGTAATGCAAATAAGAAACTTGGAAATATGATAAATATGGAGGCCATTGGAGGAGCCATGTTACCAACCTTAAAAGTTCTTTTGTGTATATAACGTCACAGTGTCCCATCAGAAATGGACAGTAGTTTTATGAGCAAACTGGAAGAGATATCAAAGATCTTGTGGCAGCCTTTTTAAGATCATTTTAATGTATAACTTCGTGCCATAGCAAACATATATTTCAAACACAATTGCAACTGAATATAGATTCTCAAAACAAAAAGTTTGATATTACTATGGTTTGGATTATCGATTGTTTAGACATTTGGTCAAATGTCTGAGAGAAAGGTCTAGCTTAGACGGCCCTCGGCTCCGCCACGATACGGGGTCTTTCAAAACGCAAAAGTTTGATATTACTATGGTTTGGATTATCGATTGTTTAGACATTTGGTCAAATGTCTGAGAGAAAGGTCTAGCTTAGACGGCCCTCGGCTCCGCCACGATACGGGGTATTTCAAAATGCAAAATGTACCCTTTCTCAAAAGTTTCAAACGTATGTTTCTACATCATTCAATATTCTTTTTGATGCACTTTTCTTTTAGATATAAGGTTATACAACTTTTTTCCAAAAGTTTTTTAGTTATTGCCACTAATTTCAAGAAAACCGAGTACATCACATAAAATCAAATCTTCCATCAAAAAGTAGATTTTATCAACATAACAAGAATAACCTAAGCCTCAAGCAATCGATCGTTAATGATTAATTTGAATGTATTACCTTGTTGCAAAGCACACAAGGTCAGACGCCTGTTGAAATTATCTTGCAGGTCTAAAAGGGCTTGTCTAGGTATTCAGCTATTCAAAAATGTAGAAATGTACATGATGTTCCATTTAAAGTGGATGAGAAAAGGTAAATTTTGCGTTTTGCGATATACTGTATAAATAGAAGCATTTCTTGCAGATCAGCTTAAAATCGATGATAATAAAAAATTTGTGAAATAAAATTTATTTGAATGTATTAAAAAATGGCGGAGCTGCGGTCTGTCAAAGATATCCATCTTTTCAGATATTTCACGAAATATCTAAGAAATTGACAATCGAAACCGTATGTTATGTGATATCAAATTAATTGTTTTTATAAGCTCTATCCAAATATGCAATAAAGTATGTGGTATTCTATTTACAAAAATACATGTTTGCTATGACACGAAGAGTTCGAACACCCTGTATATATTAAAATAATTTTAAAATATGGACCACAGTAGCATATCAAGGCTGCCACGAAAACATATTTATAATACTTTCTACTGTTTGCTCATAAAACTACTGTATTTATACTAAGTGACATATAAATCCGAACACCCAGTTTAAATGGTTTTATTTTAATAAAATTTTGTATAAGTACTTAATGAAGCATAATAAGTAAATGATAAAAATTTCAAAATGATTGCACTGCTTTAAAGCCCTTTGACCTTTAATAATGTGTGGATGCACCCTGATGTGCTACGCATTCTCCAACGCGCCTAGGTATGCTTCTGATCAGGTGGTCAATGTCCTCCCGAGGTATCTCATTCCAGGCAACCACCAACTCCTCTCGAAGTGCTTCTAGAGTCTGAGGAGGACGTTGCAAATTGAGCAATCTCCTACCCATCATATCCCACACGTCCTCAATTGGGGATAAGTCGGGAGATCTTGGTGGCCATGGTAACAATGTGACATCATTATGTTGAAAGAAGTCTATTTTGACTCTTGCAACATGTGGTCGGGCATTATCTTGTTGGAAAGTTGGATCTGCCAGGGTGTCAAGATAGGGTAAAAGATGGGGTTCTAGAACTTCGTGGATATAACGCTGCGCGTTCATGTTACCTCTGATGAAGATTAAAGGTGACCTGGAACCATAAGCTATAGCACCCCACACCATAACTCCAACAGTGTGATGAACATGCCTTTCAACAAAAAATTGTGGATTCCTCCTTTCACCACGTCGCCTTCTAACCCTTACACCGACGTAATCGCCTTGAGTGGTGCAGACAACGGTCACTCTGGGATCAGGAATGGAACAGTATTGTCTTTAGTGACGAGTCTCGATTTTGTTTAGGCATGCACGATGGTCGTGCCAGGGTAGAAGGCGACGTGGTGAAAGGAGGAATCCACAGTTTTTTGTTGAAAGACATGTTCATCACACTGTTGGAGTTATGGTTTGGGGTGCTATAGCTTATGGTTCCAGGTCACCTTTAATCTTCATCAGAGGTAACATGAACGCGCAGCGTTATATCCACGAAGTTCTAGAACCCCATCTTTTACCCTATCTTGACACCCTGGCAGATCCAACTTTCCAACAAGATAATGCCCGACCACATGTTGCAAGAGTCACAATAGACTTCTTTCAACATAATGATGTCACATTGTTACCATGGCCACCAAGATCACCCGACTTATCCCCAATTGAGCACGTGTGGGATATGATCGGTAGGAGATTGCTCAATTCGCAACGTCCTCCTGAGACTCTAGAAGCACTTCGAGAGGAGTTGGTAGTTGCCTGGAATGAGATACCACAGTAGGACATTGACCACCTGATCAGAAGCATGCCTAGGCGCGTTGGAGAATGCGTAGCACATCAGGGTGCATCCACACATTATTAAAGGTCAAAGGACTTTAAAGCAGTGCAATCATTTTGAAATTTTTATCATTTACTTATTATGCTCCATTAAGTACTTATACAAAATTTTATTAAAATAAAACCATTTAAACTGGGTGTTCGGATTTATATGTCACTTAGTATAATTTTATGTAAATACGACTCGTCAACCCGCCATAGCAAATTAAATATTCCAAACAATTTCTTCGGTTAATTACTTCTCTACCGTATCTAATTTTTTTTCTTGATGTTTCAAATAAGCTACAATGGAGCTGCGGATTGTGATTCCATAACAGATGTTATATTTGTCACAAAAAAGGTACTTTTGATAGAAATACGATACGTTTGAATCCCTAAAAAGAAACTAGTTTTGATGAAATTATGGAACGTATGTTGGAATAGGGATGGATAGGGACATCCAAGGACCTTAACCAATTTTTTGAGTCTGATAGTTTTGGAAAACGTATCTTATATTTGTCCTGGATAAATATGCTTGACTTTGAGTATCAGATATTTTTTTGCAGGCTTAAGCTTCTTAAAAAGCATATACCCTATTTGTTTGCCCAGTTCTCAGGCCTGTGAGTAATCTCTCTTCACAATAGCGCGACGTTCTAAGTTTGCTCGATTAACTCCATAAGCTTTCATCTGTTTCCACCTCGACCATGTTTGTAGATCGAATCGAGAACTATCCGGTTCATTCTCTTACACATTCCAAGTATATCGTGGCTGTTAGAAAATCTAGATTTCTTAAATGACCGTGTTGAGCTGGAGCAGATCATGATTATGCTTCATCATGACATTTCCAAAAGCACAAAAAATGTCTAGTATTTGACTTAAGGTCGGTTAATAGGTTTTCTGGTAAGGCCCTTTTATGTTCCAACATAGCGCTGAGTTCATCTACTCGAAACCACTGTCCTTTAACATATGAATTGATATCCGCAAACAGGTAGCGCATGGCTGATAGGTCGACTGACGTTTCGTGTAACACCAATGAACAGTAATATAACAGGTTTGTGTTTCATAATATGTATCGAGATTGCATATATAAACATACACAATAGTTGCTAATTAAAGAATTGATTTTTTAATTGCAAATATCACATGAATCATGGGTGGGTGCCGGTTGCAAAGAGATATAATCTAGATCAATGGCCGAAGGTCGGTCGTACTTTCAAAGGCAAAATTGGACCAAACCGGATGAAAAAACATTTATTTCATATTGTCGTACAGTTGTATACCAACACGTCTTGCAGTTCACTTGAACAATATGAAGAATATGGTCAAACGTGAAGTTATCTTTAATTTGCTCGTTGTGCTATGTCTTTTCAAGGCACAGTGTTGTGAAGGTGAGTTATGAATCTTTGTATGCTCCACTACCTAAAAAAAGATACAGTATCCTTAAACAAATGTGTCAATATTTAGGAGCTAGACCCTTCATTCCATGAAAAAATAGAAGGTTTGAAATGAATAAGAATTATTTTTTTGCTAGTTCTACCTACTGCCTACTGTTATAGTGTTTTATGTTATTTTTATTTTATTTTATTTTATTATTTTATTCATATATTTCTCAACAGATACAACATCCAATTACAGAGAAACACTATACAGGTATTGAAAAGCAAATAGATACACATAAAAAAATAGTATCATGGATTGATGATAATAAAAAAATCCTATGTGTGTGTATCAGAAATCCAACACAAAGCCCCATCAGTGCAGTAGTAACACACGCAAATTAATATATTTCTGAACATTAATTCTACTCCTAAAATAGATAAAGAATAAGATTAAAAGGTACTGGGAAGCTGAAAATAGTTTACGTCACTGAACGGTTTTTAAATATGACAATATTTTTCTTTTATATATGTTCGCTCATATCAAAGTCAAAGAGATGACTAACCTCGTTAAAGCATTTCAACATTCTGTATGAAGGAGATGCTAGCATAATATTTGTTGAAGCTTTTGGAAGGTAAAACATGGTGAAGTTCCTACTATTCAACCTAGGCGCAGTAAAGTTCAAGTTCAACAAAATTTCAGTCAATCTGATTGCTTAGCAACTTATGCACAAAGCAGAAGCTTAACAAAAATCTTCTGTGTTCAAGACTGACCATGCCAAAGTGATCTAAAAGGTCCTCTTTTGGATAGTTAAATGGAGGATATGCACCTTATGCTTTTAAATAGAGATATTTTAAAAATTTTTATTGGATCTTCTCGATTTTAGATATCTTTGTAACATATAAAGGAGACCAGATGATACAACCATATTCAAGTAAGCTTCTAACGAAAGTGAAATACAGTATTTCTAATGATCCTGTTTTAGTGGAATATCTGCAATTTCTAATAATGAATCCAAGCATACGTGAAGCTGATTTGACTATTTGATTCAAGTCTGTTGAAAATGAAGATCCCAAGTAATAGTAATGCCTAGGTCTTTTGCTTCCTGTACTCTGTCAAGTCTGTGATTGTCCAGCATATAATCATATCGTATGATAGAGTGTTTACTGGTAATGGGAATTACTTTACACTTGCTGGGATTAAGCATTAAATCATTATTCTGGCACCAGTCAAGGATGTTGTCTAAATTTTCCTGCAAAAGGTCTAAGCTCCCTTGTCCATGAATTACTGAGTAAATTTTTAAGTCATCCGCAAACATTTGGTTTTCTACTGTTATTCTATGTTAGTACCTTGTGACACTTCCGTAGTTGGTGTGTATGATTGTGATTTGAAGCCGTTATATTGCACAAAGTGAACGCGTCCACATAAGTAGGAACGGAAAAATATCAACAAGCCCTCAGATAACCCATATTAATACATTTTTTTAAAGCAAAATGGAGTGGTTTATTCGGTCGGTTGTTTCAGAATGGTACTGGAAAGACTATAACAGAGAAATCCCGACTGATGCCATTGTAGCAGGGACTTACAAAGGTCAACATCGTTATATAGGGCAAGCTTACTTACATCATTATGGTATAATGGTTACTACAATTATACCAGGTCAAAATCACAGTATAGTAGCATGTTATGGTGTTAAGAAGGTGAATAAAATGATTAAGGTGAGCTTGATATAGTTTTATACCAGTACAACGTATTTTTAAAATGTTAGCTCGATAATATGGTTTCGTAGCCATATACAGAGTGTCCCATCTATGCGGGAACGGAATATTTCTTCTCAACAAAAATGCCAAGAAATCTATTTAACGTATGTACTAAAAGTTTTGGCACAAAATATTCATCGATTTTTTTTAATGAAGAAATTTACTTGAACACTAAGCAGTTATCATAAATTACAACTCAACACTTAACTAAACTATACTAACGAATTAGGTGGAGCGGCCCATTTTGATCTACCAGACGCAACTTTCTTCGAATGTATCTCATGAGGTACTGGACGGAGTTCAGATCAACTTTTCTCAGTCTTTCGTAAATTCGCAGTCTTAATTGTTCATCATCTTGGGCTCCTCAGCCTCCATGATAAACCTTCCAAGACAGTAAAGCTCAAAAATCCTCTATTGGGCGAGCCTGCGGTAAGTTTTGAGGATTATCGTTTTTGGAAACAAAAGGTATGTGTATTGTCGAAGCCAGTTTTGGGTAAATCTTGAGTGATGGTATGATGCTCGGTCTGGCCAAAACATGGTATGGTCATTAGTATGATGTTCGAGGACAAATAAGCAATTTAGAAAGGCAATTTTCAATATAGCTTTGACTATTCAAAGCCTAACCCCTCAGTCCTTCCACATAAGGTGAAAAATTATGCACTGGACAAGGACTTAATCTGCAAATTTCGCTTTATGTTTTGTATATTTCCATTCCTCTACGTTATCCCTATAAAATCCGTCGTTTCCCTTCATTTCGGAAGTACTCAAAGTGAAATACTATTCGTCATCTAAAATAATGATTTTTCCATTGGAAAAGTGTACCCGCTTAAGTTGACGACAGCATCTTGGTATACGAAGAAGTTGAGGTTGAGAATATTTGGGGCACTTAAGTCTCTTTCGATAATGAACACCATCCCTCCTCAATTTCAACGACATCGTACTCTTAGAAGATCTGTACTGATGCCTTTGTTGCCGCTACAAAATGTTTTTTGCTCTTCTCGCCATCTCTCTGTGCAATAAATGCACATGTTCTTCCATTTTTTTGAGAGATTCAGACACGGTATTCCCTGCTTGCACTCCGCTTTTGTTCGATAAATGGTTCTGCGTGAAATGTTTTCATTCTGGAATATTCGACAGATGTCAACTCTGGGTACTCCACCAACCAACTTGTAGATACCTTTTCTTATTTCTAATTTATGTACATCTTAAAGCGAAAACTTCAAAATAAATAAATGTCAACTGACAGTAAAGTCGAGTTGGCAACTCGATATTATTTTGTGTTTGTTAAAATTAAAGCCATTAGATTTTGTGCAAAAACTTTCAGGACATACGTGATGGGGGGTATGTACTTTCATAAAATACTCACAACTGTAGTTTATTTTTTTTAATGGAATTTCATATTTTTATTGCATTTCGAATGCAACTATTTAAAAGAAGTTTGATATAATATACTCATGTGTTTGGATTATTAGTGGTGCAATTTGAGTATTTTATCTGAAAACCACCAAAGTTTGAGAGCATACACACCTGTTTCCTTGACTTGTGGAGTAGTGATTTTTGTGTAAGAAATTTTCCACAATTTTAGCGAATGTATACCTTTTTTTTAATGCAAAATGTACATCTCTTTCAAAATGGTGTATTCTAATACTGTTGGCTTAAAGTTTTTATAAGCATTTTGCTGATACGAGGGTCAATGTTGTTTATTCATGAAGTTTTTGGGTTATTTCAAATTATTCCTAAATTGCTCTAACAAAAATTGTACCACCGGTGAAGAGAAGAACTGAATAGTGGATTTATAATCAAAAAAAACATTCTTGATTTATTAAGCCTTTTTCATCAAATCAACACGAGCTTATGTTTGTGTAATGAAATGGGACAATGAAAGATGTATTCTATACAAAAATATAGTTATTTGAAAAAAGCTGCCACTTGTTCTTGAACTGGTCAAGTTAGCCAGCTGAAATTTGGGGTGATGAAGTTGATGTATGAGTAGATTAATACTATATTTTAGAGTAAAAGTGGTAGTCGGAAACTTCCATTTTTTAAATGGAACATCCACTGCCCTGCTAAATGGTAAAATGGTGCCAAACTACCAACTTATAACATTTTTAAATGTGTTGGAGGGTCAGTTAATAGTCCGTCTGGAAGCATCTTTTTTTGTTAGGGTGTGTATGAATGTGCAAATAAAACAATGCGCTCCGTAAAAAAATTTACAAAGTTCATATTTTATTATAAATCCGTCCAAGAGAAAAACATTGATATAACGTACATTTTAGCTGGTTGTGCAGTTGTAAAGGAATCAATGTACAGAAACGGTCAGTCATTTGGCCATTTCGGATAGTGAATTTGTACTCCAAGTCCTACTAAGAAAATGATCCGTCCAGCCGCCGTTTAAAATTGTCAACTATCACATTCACGTTAAAATCAATTTCATCACTTTCAGCTTGTTAGCTTGACTCGTTTTTGAAATGAGTTGAGGGACCTTTTTGAAAAACACTGTATGACTATCTCTATGGTAACTTCTGAGCGACTAATTCGTTGCAGATCCTTTGTTCTCGTAACCACCATAATTTCCACTGGATAGAAACAACACCAAACACTTACCTAAACGACACCATGCATCTAACGACAGTCATCGGGGGGTACAACGAAAGAGCTAGGAGTGACTGGAACAAGAATGGAGTTTCCCTAGAGTTGGCACCTTTGATCATAGGCCGGACTACGAGACATGTTCATCCGATCATTGGTGCTGTGACTGTGTATAGGCAGAAATATGTTGGAAAGACTGACTTTTATTATCCCGATCCTGTGAACAATACTGTTTTGTCTGCGGCTAGTTTTGAGGTGCTTGTTTATAAATAAAAGTTGAAATACATGCTGTGAGACTTAAAATGCTTTTGGCTTTGCCGCAAAATAATCGTGAATTCATAAAAAACGAATATAATATTTTATTGAAAAATCTGAATTCAAAAAATATTTTTACAGGAACACAAAACGCATATATTAGCAATAAATAAATACATTAAACAATGAGAAAAAAATAAGACTGAGATGTTATGTTTTTTGGAAGTTAGATAGTACGCAAATCAGGAAAAACCATGCCACTCACTTCCATCTGACCACCTTCTTGTTTGTCTGTCGCACGTCCTCAACCTCTGCAACTTGGATAGTACCGCACGAATTTTGGTGAAATTTCGAAATAAGGTTACTACTATGCCAAGGACGGAAGAATGGCTTTTGAGAATTGATTCGATTTCGCAGATATTACGGGCAAGTAAATTAAAATCATTGTTACCTCGCTCTTTGGTGCTTAAAGACTCCGGTTTATGTTCAGATTTTTGTTGGAGGGGCATAACATCGAGAACTGGAGGTTGTGGGGGGTCAGACCGTTGTGAATGTTACATATTTGGTATCAGTGAAGGAGGCTCTGTTAGTAAAATGCTTGTGATCGCGTTAATACTACTCACTTGTTGGATGTAATATTCACATGAGGTTTTGATACGTTCATTATTGAAACAGAAATACGATATATTGTTTAAAATTTGAGATATGTGGACTTACTGTATATCGTAGTCGATCGAACACACCCAAGTTTAGGTTCTATTTCATTCCTTTAGACTTTGACTTTAGATAGACGTGGACGAACAATGTGATTTGATATATTCAAAACTGAATACCAGAAACATAGATTGTGTAGATCGGTGAAAGACCCTTAGGAACCCTATGAAAGATATATGCTTTTCGGCTAATTTTTGATAATTTAGTATCTTGTACCTCGCAACACGTAGAACAAAAGTGTGAGCAAATCGTGCGTTATTACACGATATGTATGGTTCTTTAATATTTATTTACGTTCCTATCATCAACCCTACTGATCTTAGTCGCATGGATGGAGTACTTAGTTCTCCAAGACACAAACTATTGAAAAAAAGATTCAAGATTAATCGGTCCCTCTGGAAATACATTTCGAGTATATCTGGGATTGTATAGGGCATTGAATTGATGAGCTGACTAACAAGGTTGCATTTTTGTTAGATACCTATAGATTAATTAAATGCTTCGATATATTTACGTACTCATGATGTTTTGTTGACTAGTTGTATATTTTGCATTAAAAAGTGTGACATCTATCAGCTTGGTTTCTTCAACAGAATACTGAATTTTCTGTAAGAAGCTGTAGTCTCCAGTAGCTATATAGCTTACCCATTACTGCAGTTGTTCAAGTCAATAAGCTATATGGAGTTCTCAAAAACCCGTCAGTTAGTGATTTATTCCTCGTTAAAACGTTAAAGTGAGACACTCTGTATACTAACATATTTATAAATCCCACTATTTCTGAGTTGTTTTTAGATATCTAGTCAAGAGTGTTTATGTGATGATATTAGGGCAATCTGTTTAAAACGCAACTTCTTTACACTATCCATTGAAGCGTCCTAGATATAGCTCGACATTCTTCTATGCTTTCAGACAAAATATAAAATTTCCCAAATAAAAAACTCAGTAGTATTTAGGTACATCACGCAAATCCGTAACAAAAAATACGGACGTCTATAGAAAATAACTTTAATATCTTCCTCTGTAGTGGGAAGTCTTTTATAAATATTGAACATTTTTAAAATATTTTCTCACACAGCTAATGCAGAATAATTCTAAATAGATTTTGCAAAAGTTTGTGGCTGTTCCATCCTGTGCATGTGATAGAACCGCCATGCTGTCAAAACGTCTAATAGGGATGACGATAATAATGCAAATAAGTATTATACAACTGTTACATGTCGAAGCAAGAAAAGGTTATAATAGCGTACACACTGCCGAACTTGGACGTCCTGTATATCGAAAACTACTCGCGAAAAAAAATTGGGCCCATGGACACAAATGCAGTTTTATGCAGGGCTTCCGATGTGGTACAGAAAAGTTGACACTAAAGCGAAAGATAAATGATGTACGTCCACACTTCCTCTCAGGATTTACTGCTGGAGCTATAACCCCTATTTTTGTACTTTTTTATGTTGTAGAAGCTCTTCAAGTAATTGAACCCCATTACAGCGACTACTAAGGAAGACATGGTTATTTCCTGGCAAAGTGAATTCCCGGAGCCACATAAGCGCGCTCTGAATTACGTATGAAGTTTCTAGATGTGAGAGCGTAAGAATCCATGATGCCATTTCCTGAGACCTCCGTCTCATGGCTCCCAAAGCCGACGTATCCGCCGTCCCATTTTTTGCCTGCCGTTTACTTCCAACACCAGCACAATTAAACTCCCCAATAAAACTTCCGGGAAGTCCCGTTAGAACGCCTCCGCCATGGCACTTGGATGATTCTCCTGCATGATATAGTCTGGTGGTAAGGGTTGTGGATGTGGACGATAGCGATAAGGAAGCAGTGCTTAGTATATAGAACTTTTAAGGCTTGTTCCAAAAGATTAAGTACGCACTTAAATTTGTACCTTCTACACATGAATATTGTGCCCCACGCCAGACCTCACACTAAAGGGACCTCTGACTTCATTGGTTCTGAATTCTCAGAAACTCCATTATTGCCAGGTATAACTTTCTGCCACACGAAATAGAGTCAGATCCCAGGGCTGCCAGATGTTACTTATTTTCTGAAAGACAAAATGTCAGGCATTGAATAGCATTTGGATGTAGTTTCAACGCCTGCGTACGGGATTTCCGGCTATAAATTGGCCCCCTCCCACTCCTACTTTTTTATACGACCTTCTAGAAGAAAAAGTTGTATAGAAAAGTTACAAGTGCAAAACTACTAAAAATCCAAATAGTTTTTACTACTCAAAGTAAGGCTATAATCATTTCTTACCAGTTTCTCGTCGCCGCTGATCGATTCGTTGGAAAGCTTTCGAATTAGGCAGGTGTCAATTAGGGAATCTGTCAACGTACAATCTTCGAGCTTTTAAAGAATCATATCTTGACAACCCGTACATTAAATGCATATCAGAATATTCATCAAACGTATATTCCGTGATGTTTAACAACTTCTTCTCAACTTAAAATTATTCATGAAGTACAAAGCAATATTATGACAAACATTAGAAACCATTGCAATGCTACTCAGATATTTTCCAAATCAACTTGATTATTATGTTATAAAAATGTTTTATCATCATGGTACAAATAATACATTGGAACTTTTAAAATATCTCGAAACCTATTAGCTTTAGACACTTCTACTTCTTGTTGAGGAAATACGAGAAAATAAGATTTTTCGGTCAGTTGTAATATACAGGGTAGCACAAAAAAGTATATTAAGTTATTTACCAAAATATTGCTGTAAGTGGCGCCCTCTAGAAGTTTGGCCATAAAAAATAACGGATGTTTGCTTCTCATACTAGAAAACCTCCCTATACCGAGTTTTATGCCAAAATCTGAAATACATCTCAAGCAATAAGGAAAAATAGAAAATAAAATTGTAACTTTGGCACCCTGTATCTCGCAAACTATACACTTTTGGACTAAAGTATGTTTGTTTAGGTCGATTCACATTTTTTGGTCCGTAGTATCTCCAGTTTCGAGATTTCTCAACCGTTCGCTTGTATTTTCAGGCAAAATGATACGCCCTTTTCCACTGATTTAAAATATACAGGGTGACTTCGAAGTTGAGTCATTTATTTTAACAGTGAGTAGATCTGATCAAAAGAAATGTTTTTTTCCTTTACCATTTTTCTGGTAAAATTAAAGTAACAAAGTTATAGCCCTTTGGAAGTTTGAGTACCGCCCTGTCTCAATAATATCATGTACTCGTGTTTGGCAACAACGGATATAATCCACCTTATCGGTTCATCGCATCGTAAACAAAAAAGCGAAAGAATTTGGAACGATGTTTATTTTATTCAGTTCAGTTATACATACAGTCAGTGTCAGTCGCGTGTGAATAGTGTCTGTTGCGTGGCTCAAACGAAATAAAAAATGGCACATGTTTATGCGGATCGGTTTCCCAATCGAGTGCAACCAAACCCTCGTGCCTTTGTTAATGTAGTACAACGGGCTCGTGAATCAGGTGACTTCAGACCTCACAGGGGACGTCACGATCAAATACAGGTCTGCACTGAAATACTTGTCGGGAGGATACTTTATAAAACAAGGTAAAAATTTTTTTTTATTTTTTTTTTATTTTTACACACATATTTTGGTTTATCTTCCTTCTACAATCATTATCTGAAAATTAATGACTCAACTTCAAAGTATATGGTTTATGATACTTATTTGTATTAGTTTGATCAAAAACTTAAAGTGTGCCATTTACTCATGAATATCCTAGTTCGAACCAGTTTGCATCTAGCCACCTATACAATACGGTAGGTATGGGACAGGGCCGGAATACATACAGGTATACACATGATTAAATGACACACAAACTTCAAGATTTTGACTATCATCGTCGCTGGAAATATAGAGGGTGTATCATTTAATACATTTTATTTGATATCACTTGTCTGAGACAAAAAAGTAGTACATGAAAAACTTCATACTAGACCCTGTAGGTATACAACTTTTTTTTAGAAGGTCATATAAAAAGTTAGAGGTGGTCAATTTATATCTAAACCCAAGTTTAGTATAAGGACATCAGGTTAAAAAGGTTATTTTAACTTAATATCTGATAGCTGAGTTTTATATAAAGGGTGTCCAAACAGTGCGCCAAAGTACAATATCTTAATTATTATTAGAGTTGCAAAAAAAGTTGACTATAAAAGTTATAGGCAGAACTAAGAGCTACAAATTAAAATTATTTTAGCTATAGAGGGTGTCCCATAAAACAGTGGCAATATCAAATTGTATTTTTTAAATGGGACAACCAGTGTTTCCGTCGATTTTTAGAAGCGCCTTTTCTTGACCATTCTGCCAATGTATGGTTTTGGGGGTTTGTACTGGGTATTTCGGGATATATAGCCACTTTTCCGTTAAAACCATTGTACATTTGCTTTCCCGTATCTTAAACATACTTTAGATAAAATCTGTTTTATTATACTGACTGATGACAGCGGTAGACATTCATATCCAACATTTTTTACGTACGTGTTTCATCCTAGGCATACAGGGTGACTCAGAATGGAATAATGTAATTTTATCGCAAAATTTAAATGCAACATCCTGTATGTTATATCTCTGTTCAACGGGTCTCTTGATGCATTTTCTGTTTTATTAAGCATTCCCTATACTTAAACCTAGTACTTTCTTACATATTCCATATTTTATAAGTGAAAACCATAATAATATTGGAATTATTAGGACAATACAGGATGGCCACGCCTTTTTGACAAACCTGTCATCGTAAACTTCAGTATTAGTTTGGCTTGAATATAAAATGAATTTTT